TTTCTTTTCTCTCTCTCTATTTTATTCTTTCATCACATTCTTGAGTTCAGGCAGCTTCCACTGGGCCAGGGCATGCTTTCTAACCCCCTGTAGCGAGTCAGGCCGGAGATGGCAGATGCCGAGTGTTCAGAGGGATCCTGGCTGATAGGGAACCTGTTCTTTTCCTCAGGCTATTTCCTATCCCTTCAAGAAAAACACTCCTAGAACCAGGGCTGGCAAAAGAGGCCCAGCCATCTTCTTCTTCCCCAGGGACAGGGTGCTCAGGCCTGAGTTATGATGTGTCCTATTTTCCCTCTGTCCTGACTTCCCACCTCTATATAACTTGGGGCCATGGCCTTCCTCCTCACAGCCACGACCCTCCATGTGTCCCTCTGCCCACAGCCCATGAGTCCCTCCAGGACAGGCCTATGGGCCTGGAAGAGAATCCATCCCTAGTAAGTCGTGACTGAATGGCAGAGCTATTCTCTGAGCTGTGCCTGCTATAAGCCTCCAAACTCCCCCTGCTCCAGGGACCTACCAAAATTCAGTTTCAACTCTACTGTCCAGTTGTGGACAGAATCCTTTTTTCGCCTAGCTCACTGGCATCCACCATCCCATACCCCTGCCGCCATGGTGCCGCTCTTCCTTTCCTGTTGTATGCCTGTGCCGGACCACATGCCTCCCTCCTGGGCAACAGGGAGCCTCCCTGGGCTTTGAGCACTGCCTCAAGGTCTCGGTGGGTGTGATTAGCATGGGAGAAACAGGTGTAACAGAGCTATTTGGGCAAGGTGCCCTGAGCCCCTGCTCCATGAGCTCAGGGCCACCTGCAGGCCATCTTCAGCTCCTTAGGCCAGGACTACAGGGCTGAGGAGGTAAGTGAAGCAGCACAGGGTAGCACATCCAGGAGGGAGAGGAGCTGCCTTCTGGACCTGCACTGTGGCGCTGTGGTAGATACTCCTTCAGCACCGAGTCCAGGCTGGCCAGCAAGGATCCCCAGGCTCTGAGGTGTTGGGAAGAGACAAGGAAAAGCCTTTGCTTGGAGCAAAGGAAGATGCCTCCCAGGTTGGAGCATCCCTTTTGGGGAAAGTGGAGGAGAGCTGGGAAGCACGGGCCAATGGCAGGCTGGGGAAGCCCCTGGGACCTGACGGGTACATTTTGCTTGTGATTTTTCCATTTCTTTCCATATGGTGTGCTATGGCCCAAGATGGAGCAGAGATGGCAGGAGATGGGGTCCCGATTCTCCAAACCATGCCAGCCCCCCCCCCAGTTCTATTCATAATGCTTGTTTCAGTTCTATTTTTTCCCCCTTGGATGATGGTTTTTGTCCTTTTCTTCACACCCTAGGATTGTTGGATAGGTGCTCAGTACATGCTCTCAGAAAGAATGACAAAATACAGGCTCTTAGTTCAATTCTTGGAACCCCATGCCGAGCCTTGCTCTTTTCTTCTATGAAACAAGAATTCCACCAGGACTAGAGTCAGGATGTGAAATGATGGGAGGCTCCTGTGCATAGTGTGTTAAGCATAAAGCAGAGAGATTAGAATGGGTACCAGTGGGAAGAGAGGCTGCTTAGGGGTAGAAGGACGTGAAAGGTGAATTTGTCATGCAGAAGTCAAGAGGTGTGTTAGATACGCGGATAAAGACTTGGGGGTAGGGAGGTGCCATGTGTTTGAAGACACAGGGTAGACAGCCTAGCTGGGACATTTCTCTGAGCCCTCTGAACCTCATTATTTGCCTTGACGAAGGGAACTGAGGCTTGTGAAGTGGGTGAGGGTAGAGGGCAGAAGAGTCCCTGAGTAAGCAAAGGTTTGGGTGACTGTGTGTTGCTGACATGGGCCTAGCCGGGCATGTTAAAGACCTCAATGTTTCAGCCTGGTGAGAGTGGCAGCGTCTTCCCTGGGTGAGGCTCAGAGGGATGGCAAAGCCTTCCTCCCGGTCCAAGTGAGAACAAGTGTCCAGTGTATACAAAAGCAGCAACCGCTGCTCCGCTTCCCCGATGATTTCAGCCCAGGACTGCTCACCTGCGTAGGTCTTCTGCTGAGACCAGCTAAGCCCCGGCTCTGTGCTGTGCATAGTGAACACTCCTCCTCACTGGGGCAATGTGTTTGACTTTAGCTCTTCTGTGTGCATATATCTGTGAATCTGTCCATTTTTCACAGGGTTCCAGACCCTCAGCAGGTAATAAATGTGCACTTCTTCCTGAGGTTGCCTGGAGGCATTGCCGGCCCAGGCTGACCCTTTCTTGATGACTGGGTCAGAAATGCCACCAAGTTGTCTTTTATTGGCCTTACTGGAGATGAGTGGAAGCAGCTATGGGACCTTGGCAAGACACGCAAAGAGGCCTTGCTTCAACCCCTCTGATGGGACTAGCCAGCCTGTAATCTCTACATCTGCTTTCTTTTACAGAACTCCTGAATGGAGAGGGGCTAGATTTGGATATACCAAGGAAGAATAAAAGAACTAGACTTAGGTCCTCACTCCTGAGAGGCCTCCTTGTCTCCATATTTAGGGAGGAAGTTGAATCTGGAGAAGGTGTGTTGGCTGTGAGGTTGCACTGCAAACAGAAGACCTTGATTCCTAAGCTTACCTATAAAAGTCGTGTGGCTTTCAGGACAGGAAAAGTAGGAGAAATGGATGGGGACACAAGCTGCAATTACTTCTCTGCTTGGATTTCAGGGCCTCTGGGAAATGACTGTTTGTCTCTGTTTGCTTCCCTAGGGCCACCTGGGTGCCCCGGGTGACTCCTTGGAAGGTGTGTGGAGCCAGAGTGGCAACAGCCATGAGCTCATCTCCCTGGAGGCTCTGGGAAGTTTGATGGGAAGGAAGAGGGAAAGTGGCCAGGGAAAGAGAAAATGGATGTAGGAAGAGGCTTTGGGATGAGCCACAGAGCTTAGGGACAGGAAAGAAAAAGGACAGATGCCAAATGCTACTGTGGTTTGAGTTACTTCTCTATGTAATTCCCTTTAGCTCTCTTTCTTCTTTTCTTTTCTTCTTTCCTTTCCTTTCTTCTTTCTTTTCTTTCTTTCTTTCTTTCTTTCTTTCTTTCTTTCTTTCTTTCTTTCTCTCTTTCTCTCCTTCTCTCTCTCTCTTTCTTTCTGTGACAGGGTTTCTCTGTGTAGTCCTGGCTGTCCTGGAAACTCACTCTGTAGATGAGGCTGGCCTCTAACTCGGAGTTCAACTGAGTGTTGGAATTAAGGGCCTGCCCATCTGTGGGACAACTTCCTGATGAGTTTGATCCTGACAGAGCCCAGCCTGGGCTTCTTCCACTTCCAACTCCTGTCAGCAGGGGGAGGCTGTGCTTCATTAGGCTGCAGATATGGGACCAGAGATTGGACAAGAGTAAAAGAGAGAAGCCTCCTGTAAAGACCGCCTGGAGTAGGAGGCGAAGATGGGGCTCCTACCTAGATCTGTCAAGTTGTAGCCTTGCTACTGCCCCAGAATCAAGTTGAAACTCAATTCAAGATTTCTCAGAAAGACACGCACAATTCCTTATTTTCCACTTCCTGGTTTTTATGCATGTTTCTTTCTGAACGAGATTCGGATCCCTTCACTTCCTGCCTGGCCACCTCCTGCTCATGCTCTGATACACGGATTCACCATCATTTCCTCCAGGAAGCTTTCTAGGTTCTCCCGCACCCCAACAGCTCCTCTACACCACCGGCCTCCTCATTTTCTGATGGATGGCAGTGTCTGCTACTCCTTTATCTAGCAAACGATGGGAGCAAGCAGTAGACGCCTAGTGAACACCTGGGTGAAACCAACAGCCCTCTGCACGGTTGGATAGCGGGAGCGACGAACCTGAGAGTCCAGGGAGATGCTGTTTTGTAGAGACTGTACCGGTAGGTTCCTGTTCCGCTCAACTTTACCTTTCCTCTGTACTTCTGATGAGATGGGGGAACAGTCAGAACAACTGAGGGGGCAACCAGGACCTGAAGAGGCTGGACTCCAGGACCCCAACATCCTCAGCTAACATATCAGAGCTGGGCAGGGCGCTAGAGATGACGGAAGCCCATGTCTCTCCTAGATAAACTGAGGTGCAGAGACATTTGCCCAAGGTGTAGGCATTTGCCCAAGGTCACAGAGTAAGAGGGGAGGCCACCTTGGGCCAGGAGCCTTGCCGTCCCTGTTTAACAGGTGTTTTCACGCGGGGTGGGTTAATGTCCGGACAGGGAGCTCCCTAGTCCTTCCTCCCAGGGCCACAGTCCTGGAGGTGCAGCCTACACTTCCCCCAGACCCTAGCTGGTCCTCAGGCTTAGAGCGACAACTGCTGAGCGCCCCCTGGATGGCGTGGACTGGGCAGATCTCCATAGTCCTTCTCCTTGACTCACCTCCAGCCCGGGAGGGCTGGACTCACGCTCGGCCGACGCGGCCCCAGGGGCAGCATCGCCCGGGCCCGCTCCGGCCTTGTGAGGCCGCTCTGCTCGGCGTCCCGGGTGGGGCAGGTCGAGCCGTGTGCGCTATGCCTTTAAGCCTCGGTGAGATGAGCGCTGTGAGTCGCAGCCGAGGCTAGCGCGGGACGTCGCCATCAGCCCGGCTCAGGCCAGGAGCGGAGGGACCGCGGGGTCCCTCGCCGCCCACCGCGCGCCGGGAGCCGGGGCTCTGCGAGCGGCGGGCGGCACCCGCTGGGATGCGGGGACTGTGAGAGGCAGCGGCGCAGCGCCGTGGGGAGGTGGGCGCCGAGAAGGGCGGCGGCGACAAGGCCGACGGAGCGCGGCGGGGGAGGCCGGGGACAGGGGGAAGACAGGAGCGGCGGTCGAGAGAACTGAGAGCCAGGGCGGGGTGCGGGGGAAGCCGCAGGAGCCGGGCCGGGGCCGGGGCTGGGCGGAGAGCGCGGCCGCGGCGGGGCAGGGCGCGGAGGAGCGGGGACGCCCGCGGTGCGTCCTCGGGGAGCGGCGGGGGACGCGAGGCGCGGTGGGCCCGGGGGGGGGGGGGCGCGTGGCTAGGACGCTGGGGCGGCGGGGTCCCTCCGTGAGCTCCCCGGGAGGGCGAGAACCCGGAGTGCGGAGCCGGGCGTGCGGCGGCGGCGGGGGTGTGTGCGCGCCCGAGTGTGCGCGTGTGTGAGCACACGGGCGGGTGAGAGCGCGCGTTAGGGATTCTGCCGGCGTCGCAGCCTGGAGAGCAGGAGGCAGGAGCCGGGCGCGCAGGAGAGCGCAGGGCTCTGCCGCGCACACGCCGTGCGCGCTCTCCCGTGCGCACACACATACAAACACACACACATACACACACTCTCTCTCTCTTTCTCTCTCTCTCTCTTACACACACACACACACGCACGCACGCACACACGCCCTTTCTGCTTCGCTGGTTGCCGCTGCCACCGTCTCGGAGCCGAGCCCTGCGGAGCGAGAGCCCAAGCTGGAGCAGGGATCGGAGGCGAGCCCAGCCCGGCGATGCCGGCTGCAAGCGGGGCCGCGCGCAGACGGCGCGCTCCGATGGTGAGTGTGGCCGAGTCTGGATGCTGCGGCTGGGCTGGGGCTGCAGGGGCGCAGGCGGGGGAGCTAGGGTGTCAGCCCGCTGGCAGCGCCGCGTTCTGAGCCTCTGATTGGGCTGGAACCTCGGGGCAGCCGTGGGGGGTGGGGTGTCGGGTGCGCGTCCGCGATGGGCGTGCACGCTCAGCACCCCATCGGCGTGAGCGCGCTCCCCTCCTGCTGCGCAGCTCCTCCGAACCCTCACCTGGCTCAGGAATCACGGAGGCTTGAAGCAACTTTGCGGAGCGTCACGGGCGTGGCAGGCCTGGAGGCGGTGGGGGTGGAGGTGCTTTAATGGTACAACTTTGGCTTTTCTTTCATGAGGAGAAAACATGAGGGAGAGTGGGGTGGGAGCTCTGGTTGGACCCCCTGGTAGGTAGAGGGGGGCCGTTCTGACAGCCCAACATGTCAACCATGGGCTCTCTGGGATGCCTATCAAGCCGGTGCCCCTGGAGTCGGTCCTACACCAGAATCCCGTGACCCTGCCAGGGTCAGGCGGGACCGCATACTGGCCGATCCACAGGGCCGAGGGACATCTTTGTAACCTGCATGAAGGTGGAGAAGTGGGAAGCCTGCAGATGCGTGACCCCGGGTGTGACCCCAGGTGCCTCCTGCCCCGTGGGCAGGTTGCGGGAAGAAAGGAACTCCCTGCCAATGCAAACGATTGTGTTTGAGTTGAGTTGACTTGAGACGCTAGATGCCCAGCTCTCGGGGGCTGGGGATACTTAGGAGGGGCATCCCCAGGCCCGCTGGCCTGGCATCCCCACCCCAGCTTAGAGCAAGGCACGTCAAGCCTGTGTTACTCCCTGCATCCCCTTCTCAGCGAGGCTCTGCTGGTCCTGTCCTGGCTGCTCCAGGGAATGGTTCAGCCTCCTTGCTGAGTCCTCTTTCTCTCCAGCACAGGCTCTCCCTCCTCTAGGAAGCAACTTTTGGCTGTTGATTGATCTTGAATCCTTCCAGTTCTCTTCCGTGCAGATGGGGCCCATATATGCTTTTTCGTGGCATTTCAAAGTGCAAGCCTTTGGGCTTAGAAGTCTTGATCTTAGCTTGGATGCTGCTTGGAGGGACCAGCCAGTATCTAGATTTTCCGGAAGGCAATTTTCACTTTCACCTGGCTTTCAGCTAGCGTCTCTCAGCCACCTCAGGAAAGGCAGGGTCCTCATCCCCGAGGCTTTCTGTTCACAAAGGAGGGTGCTGAAGCAGGAACTGAGATAAGAGAACACCACCCTCCAGTCTCAGGACAGTCCCTTGCGTCTCTGATGGGATGCTCTGGTCCTGGCCCTGGAGAAGCAGGAAGGGAGAGACAGGGTAATCGGACGTTGTTTATTGACCTGGAACCAGGACTCTGGAGGCCTGTGGCTGGAGTCACCCCAATTCAGGTCTCTGCTGTCAGTCACCAACGTCTGGGGTAGAATAGCTACTCAGCCTGATGCAGTTCGGCAGAGGCACTCTATCTCCCCGACTTGATCTATGGGACCTCCTGCTTCAGTGTTGTTAAATTCGTGCTGCCTAGATTTGGAGCCAGAGCCTGTCTGTGCTCTGTGGTGCTCTGTAGCCTGGCCTGCTTTCTATGCCCAGCCCCGCTCTGGCCTGTCTGTGCTCTGTAGACTGGCCTGCTTGCTATGCCCAGCCCAGCTCTGGCCCGCCAGTATTATCCCAGGGTCAGAGCTATGGTGAGCCTTGGCATTTCATCTGTGTGGGCCCCCTGCCATTGAGCTGTCTTGCCATTGAGAGCTAAAAGTATTGTTAGGGAAGAGGAGGGACCTTGGTGCCCCTGGGCTAACTCCTTCCCCAGGGGCCCGGCTCAAACACAGGAGGTCAGAGCTGTCAGCCTGCAGGTGTCTTTGAGTCCTCAGGTCCTTGGAGGCGCAGGCTGCGGCTCTGGGATGACTGGGTCTCACCTTGGTTGCAGTGGTTGTGCCTACAAGATGAATGCTGTCCTAGCTTCCTCAGCCTCTGTTGGCTTCCCCTCCCAGGCAGCCTCTCTGCCTCTCCTTTCTTGTGCTGGCTCTGGCTGATTCTTCAACTCCTGCTGACTTGATGTTGTCAGCCAAGGCTCTTCTGTTCTCTTTCAGCTATGTTCCCTCTCCCTCCGTGTCTCCCCAAGCTGGACTTTCCTTTCGTTCTGAGGTGCTGGAAACCCAACTGAGGGCCCGTGTTTTAGGCAAGGGCTTCATCATTGAGCCCGGATTTTTGTTTCTTAGATGTGGATGAACGTTCTAGGTAGCTGGAGAATGGCCTAATGTCTGGCATGGCCCAGCTTTTGCCATCCAGGCCAGTTTGAATTCCTGCCATGTGCTTCTGTTCCAGCAGTGGCCTTGCTACGTGCCTCTAGCTGGTCCTAGCCAGAAGGCTTCTGTGTCTTCCTGGCTGGGGAAAGGGCAAGTCACCTTCTGTGCTGCTGGGCTAGGAATCCTCCATAGTCCCACTGGCTGCCCCCTCAGGAAGAAAGCCACTCTCACTCCAACCTCAGGACTGTGGCTCCTGGATTCTCTCCCTAGCCAGAGCCTAACCCCTCCCCCCATTTTGTCTGGGGTTTGAATCGTTACATTCAAATTCAGCTACCTGAGGAAGTTGAGGATAGACTGGATCATGGGTGACTTGTTGGCAAAAATTATCTCTGACCACTTAGACCTTACGGGTAGAGGTTCATACTGGCCAGTGTAATCTTTTTCATGACTTCCCAGGGCTGAATAACTGCCCCCCTTAAACTTTGCCCCCCACTGCCTGGAATCCTGCACTTAGGGCTCATTGCACAGCTGGGACATCTGGTTTGGAACCTGGGGTGCATGCTGTGGATTTGATAATAGTGCTAGTCCTCCTTGGATGAGCTAGGAAGGGGACTCAGGCTTGGACCCACAACCCTGGCTCTGAGCAGAGCGGGCCACAGGATGTGAGGGGACAGTTCAGAGGGCACTGAGGGCCGGGAGGGGTTCGGGCTTGCTGAAATGTTTCTGGCACTTGGTGGATGCTCAATAAATCCTTGTTGAATCAATGAGTGACTGGAGAATGTGGATGTGGGTGAGGGCTTTCCAGGAGATGGCCCAGCAGTAGCGAAGGCAAGGGGGCGGGAAGCACTCGGTGTGGGAAGAGTGTGTTTGCTACGGAGTAGCTCGCTCAGGAGGATGACAGGCAATAAGCAAGACGACATGAAGAATCTGAGTGTCCAGAGTAGGGATGTGTGCTGATGCCAGATACAGGGGTCAGAGATGAAATTCTCAAGAGACAAAATTAGATTTGTGATTTAAACCACACCTGCGCTGATGGTGGGAAGCCTTGGTCTGAGAGACGCAGTGAGGTAGTCCCGAGGCCACGGGAAGTCCAGGCCTGTGGCAAGGACAGCAGCAGGGCAGAAGGGCAAGCGATCAGTCTCACCTATGAGGCATGCAGACATGGCAAGTGCCCTGAGTCAAGCCACTGAGCCCTGGGGCCTTGGTGCCTCTCTTTTGTCCTCCTGGATAACTGGATGAGTTTGGGTGATTTATAACTCAGAACTGGGTGCAAAGGGAGGGAAAGGGTAGAGGTCGGCAGACAGAGAGACTGAGCCCCAGAAGGGCTGAGGCTTAAGGGGGACGTAAAGCTGGGGTGCAGCTTCCAACCTAGAGTTTTCCTGTCTCGTCCACCCCTGCCGGGAGAGGTGGCTGGGGAGGTGAGGCCTCAGGGGCTCTGAAGGGGACATCCTCGGGCAGCTGCCGGGGCAGTCCAGCTGTCAGGAAGCATATGAGGCCATATGGCCACATCAAGGAAGGAGCTGGCTGCTGAAGGAGAGATAGTGGCTGTCACCAGGGGCCTTCTGGTCTGCACGGGCACTGCCAGCCACCAGGGCCAGAGCAGGCAGAGGCCAAAATGGAATCCTTATGTCCAGGTTGGTTGGGACATGGAGGTTGGGTCTTGGCAGGTGGCCCAGTTGTAGCACCCATCTGCTAGGACAGCTGGACAGGCAGCCTTGAGTCCGGGACTTGTCCAGTTTGCGTAAGGCCAGCTGTGACCGCCACCTCCCTCTCATGTGCCCCACCCAGCTCTGATGGCCCTGTAGCCATTAGCTTGGGGAGCCAGTCTGAGGCCTCAGTGGAGTCTGTGTGTGTAAGGTCCCTCACACCGAGAACTGAGTCTGTCACTGAGATTCGGGTGTAAACAAGTCTCTTAAGTCAACCAGGTATGATCATAATGGCCTGTGGACGCCAGATGGAACTGGGTTTTAATTTTAATTCAGCTGCTGCCAAGCCTGGTGAACTTGGATAAATCACATCTCTCCCCAGCCCTGCCTGCCCTCTACCCCAAACTTCAGTTTCTTTACCTGCATCATGAAGAGAGCTTGATACTAGCTTAGTAGATATATCATCAACACACTTTGAAACATTCTATTCAGGCAATGGTAGCCTCATTTTGTGCCTTCTGCAGGGGTGGGGGAGGGGGGATATTGAGTCCTGTTGGTTTCAATGTCCTGACTGAAACAAAGAGGAACACTGGTATTATCTCCTAAAATAAAAATTGCTATATAATCTTCATGTTTTTTTATTTTTGGGGAGTGGTAGTAGGGCCTCCCATGGCTTAGGCTGGCCTTAAATTCACTATTCAGCAGAGGCTGTCCTTGAACTCCTGATCCTTCTGCCTCTACCTACAAAGTACTGGGATCATAGGCTTGTGCCATTATGTCTGGCTTCATAGATGTATATGTATGTGTATACACACACACACACACACACATATATGCACACATACATGTTTATATACATAAACATAAAATATGTATTTAGTGTTTTAATTTTAGATGTATGAGTTTTTGCCTGCATGTATGTAAGTGCCCCATATTCATACAGTCCCTAAGCAGATCAGCAGAGGATGTTGGATCTTTTGGAACTGGAGTTACAGATGGTTGTGAGCCCCCAAGTGGGAGCTTGAAACTGAACCTGGGTCCTCTGGAAGAGCAATCAGCGCTCTTAACTACAGAGCCACCTCTCCTGCTC